CCCCCCCCCCCCCCACCCCTCCCCTCTCACTCTTCACTCAAAGGCATCTGAATAAGCCTGGTTCCTGACTGTTCTCACAAGCAATAAACAACAAGCAATGTTTGTAAAAGTGCTTAAAATGACATACTGTTTCCTTCTTTTTAAATTCTTCAGGTGGTACCATGATTTGACAAGAAACAGTGCTGAGGCATTGCTTTTAGATTATGGTCGTCAAGGAAGTTATCTGATTAGGCCCAGTAAGAACAACCCTGGACATTATGCTGTATCAGTGAGGTGGGTTAATGAATAACAAGGAGGTATAGAGACCTTTTGACCACCTCCCCCTTCAACCCCTCCCCCCTCTCTTAAACATAAATCAATGAAAACTGTGAATCTGCCATAAAAGTCAATGGAAACCAAAAAACACAACTTTGGTGGTAAAAATAAAGGGATGGTATGTCACCAATCCCACACTAAATATGAAAACTGTGAATCTGCCATAAAAGTCAATGGAAACCAAAAAACACAACTTTGGTGGTAAAAATAAAGGGATGGTATGTCACCAATCCCACACTAAATTAAAATAAGTCTATAGTCTTCGAAGAACACTGATTTTACAGCTTTACAGACCTTTTGAGTGTACCCTTTTAAGAATAGTTTAACACAGTGATCTGGAAATATAATGAAATTTAAAAAATCATATAAAAATGTACATGTATTTATATCATAAAAACCAAAATGTTCTCAAAAAGAAATTACCCACCTCTTCTTTAAGAGGAGACTTAAACTGAAAAACCACAAATTTCAAGAGCAGCAAATCTAAAAATGGCTTGAAGCAAAACTGAAAATCCCACTGTCTCCATTGTAGTCATTGACGGAAGCTCATAGTAAATTTTGATAAAAATCTATATTGTAAAATAGGAAGTTGAGGTTATAAGACATGTAAATGTGAGTTGACAACAAGCTCTTTGCAATAAAAGTAATATTATTTTTATACAAAATTCTTTTCAAGCACTTAATTATGATAAGAACGAGAAGGCCTTGGGCAGGTTATGAAAAAGTCCCTCTTTTGTTGTCGTTTGATAAGATACACTGTGTAAAAACAAATAAATCTGTTTCTTGTTCAATACCAGGCCCAAATGCTGAACACTTTTAAATAAACAACAGGCCCCTCAGATCAAATAAATGGCAGGGATGTTCTTTATAAAATAATTTTCTTTGGTTTTAACCTTATCAATTTATTTAAGAACTGTTCTGATAAACTGGTTCCCATCATTTGTTTAAATGTTGGATATCACTATCCACCAAATAAATCACTATCCTGCGAATAAGTATTAGGGAAACCAATTGCATTCTCAACTGGATAGAGATAAGGGCAAGGAAGGAAGGAGTCATGGATGAGAGGACAACAGACGTGTCCTCTTAACAATATATATTAACATGTTAACAGTAAGCTCGGATGTCAACATGCAAAGGCGCCACTGGCAGTAGCTTTCCTACCCACCCAACCCATGATGTGAATGATGTCTGAAGGTTGGTAGCATCACCGGAGTCTACGTCCCCTACTCTTTTCAAACAGTGGTGTGGGTTCTTTTATGTCCCACAAAAACAGATAAGTGTAAGTGCTGTGAGACGTAGCCTCCCCGCAGACGTCCTTTGGGGTTCGTTTGTCACGCATTCATTGGGGAGAAATGAATGCGTGACAAACGAACCCCAAAGGACGTCTGCGGGGAGGCTATGTGAGACGGGACCTACAGTGTTTTGTCCTTATCTGAGAAGAGTAGAAAGTCTAACCGTTTGCAGATGTCATTACAAAGGCAGCACTTTCTTCTCAGTTATTTAAAGACCCTGAGTGTTGGTCTGGCTGGGGTTCAAACCAGCTGTGACCTCCCGCTCAGTAGACTGGCACTCTCCCAACTGTAACCAGGCATGTATATTATTCAGTGGATAGCACTTTCCATGGTCAGTCAGATGAAGACCATTCTGAGCTAAGTTGAAATGATGTCTGGGCTAGAAAATGCTACCTTTTAAATAACTGGGGCAGTAAATTAATGTTTTTGCTAATCTTGCTGAGCATAGTTTCCTGTGTTGTTACAATAGGAGTGTTGATTCTGTGAAGCACTTTGCATTGACCTCCAATAATGGCACATTTGTCTTTGGAGTAGGTAAATTTCATAGTCTCCAGCAGTTGGTGGATCATTTCCAAAATTACCCAATCATTGGAGGAGAAACAGGTTTGCTTGTAGAGCACATTTGCATTTGCATTTATTGGTTCGGCAAAATATCAAAGCCAGTAGTGAATACCCCATACATTGTCAGTAGAAATTTCTATTGGGAGGTGATTTGGGAAGTCAAACTTTGAAATGGAAAGAATTTTAAGGCTGGGTCGCAGAAACTCTACACTGTATGTATAGCAGTGTACACCCACTCAACTCTCTTGATGGACACCTCTTTAAGATGGACACCTTAGTAAACAGACACTTACAGTTGGTCCCTGACTTTCTTTACTCCCCCTTTGTTAATTGACTCTCTGTAAGATGGACATCACCGTTAGATGGACAATAAATGTTGAGAAATTATTACTCAACATTTAAGTTCTAATCAGTAACATTTAGACTTTTGCTTCCTGCTACTCTGGTTATCTTGCCCACTATTGTAAAACATTTTGACTGGGATGGGTTCTGTTAATCTAAACTAAGAGTATCAAGAAAGAACTTTTGTGTAACATGCCAAAAAAAATGTTTTCTTTGTCAGTTTGTCTTGAAATCAAATATTAATATTTTAAATTTTTAGGTCAACCTATTACACTGGAATACCCTTATTCTTCTCACGTGCCAGAACCTTCAATATATGATGAAATCAGTAGGCATGCTGTGTGTGGGTTCACTTCATCAACCTCGCAGTCATCTGAGCAGGAACCAGTAGATATGGACTGGTCTGTGAGTATCAAAGGGGCAACATCAGGGGAGATCTGTTAGATATTGCTCATGTGTAACCTAGTAATTAACTACGATAAATTCACTAAAAACGCAATTTATGGTGAACCTCTTTGGCCTGGAACTTTTGCTTAGCACAATAATATTAATTTTTTAGGATGTGTCCTAATCCTAACATATATTTTGTTTTTTAGATAGCATCAAAGGAGGGTTTTCTTACCAAAAAAGGAAAAATTCATAAGGTAATAGAAAAGCTCTTTCTTATTTCACCAGTAACATTCTTTATTCTTATCAGAGTACCATAACCATAACCTGTTATGACCCATGTATAGATCACATATTCAGTTGATTTTTATGATGTTGCCATTCCCAATTCATTGACACATTGTTGCTTGCTTGTCTGATTCTTTCAGAACTGGAAGAGGCGCTGGTTTGTCACAAGCAGAAACATCTTACAGTACTTTAACGAACGAGGGGTACGTTAGCCTGAGTAAAACACTGACATTTTGTGACACCACTCCTGGTTTCCTCATGAAATGACATTTACATTTTTGAGAAAGCAGTGCAGAAATTCCATATTGATGACATGTCACTTTCCAAATCTGGATAGTGCTTCTGATTGGTTGAAGCAAATTTCCCAAGTGGCATGACCAATCAGGAGCAACCAATCAGAAGCACTACCCAGATCTGGGTAGTGTTGTGTCATCAGTATGGAATTTTTGTGCTCCTTTCTCAGACGTCATTTCCTGGGGAAACCAGTGGTGGCATCACGAAATACTGCCTGTTCTCTCATGCTAGTAATAGTAATTAATTTAAAAAGGTTATTTGTGTGGGGTTGTAAAATATAAATTTTAAAGCATGCATTTGCAACACAAATAGACTAGTATTTCAACTGACTTAATGGACATGAATGAATGGATGAATAAAGCTTTATTTAATCTCGGGTTTGATGAGGTTGGTTAGACCTCTAGCAAAATTTGCTAATAAGCTGAGGAGAAAAAAAAGCAGAGAAAACAAAACAAATAAATAAAATAATAGAGAAAGAAAGGGAAATCCAAAAACTTATTTACAGCATAAAACCTAAAAATTATGTGACATAGCTATTTACAAAATAAAAAGCCCAATTACTTAATAGAACATAGATATTATATAGAATTAGCTAAAACCTTAGCTGTCAGACTGCTTCTTTAAAGGCTGACAACGTAACAATGTTTGCAATATTTTGTAACAGGATAAGAAACCATTAAGAGTGCTCGACCTTCGGCTGGCAGAAGAGGCTTTTAAAAATAACACTTGTGGAAAACCAAATGCATTCAGGTCAGATTCTATGTTGGTAAATTTACAGTTATGTGCGAATCAAATCCTATGGTGTGACCATTTAAATGAAGGCTACTGAGCAGTAGTTTCCTGTAGTACTGTCTATTATGCTGTACAAGGTGGTTCTAACTTTTGAGTCTGTGAATGAAATCCTATGGTGTGACCATTCAAATGAAAGCTACTGAGCATTACTTTTCCTGTGGTACTGTTTATTACGCTGTACAAGGTGGTTCTAACTTTGGAGTCAGTGGATGAAATCCTATGGTGTGACCATTCAAATGAAAGCCACTGAGCAGTACTTTCCTGTGGTACTGTTTATTATGCTGTACAAGGTGGTTCTAACGTTTGAGTCAGTGGATGAAATCCCATGATGTAACCATTCAGGTGAAACCTTTTTGTGGTGCTTAGCATTCAATAATCACCTTTAGAAGAGGTCTTCTCCATGTCAGATCAATGCCAAATCTTCTCAACCACTAACAGTAAATTTTGTTTTTTCGACTGATGTTTGGTATCATGATACAGTTTTGGGGAAAAGCAATAATACCATGAAAATATATATATAATATTAACAGTGGTAACATGATGGTATTTGTTTCCTCTCTCAGCTTGGTTTTTCCAAATAGAACATTTTTCCTGTATGCAGACTCCAAGGAAGAGATGCAAGAATGGATAGATCTCTTAACATGGAAACTGGTAAGATTCCGTGAAAATGTCTAGGTACATTTTACTAACAAGCTTGGTTGTACACTATGTTAGTTACTATATTTTACAAATACAGTCATTTTTCTTGTTGTTGTTTTAAACCACCCAGTAATACCCCAAAGTATGTGTCCCTGTCCTAATAGTTTAATGACCCATAACTCAAATACTAACTTTATGGGTCATTTAAAATGTCAAAACTAATTGGGCTAATGTAGGGTGATGACAAATACACCTTTAGATCATCTAATTAACCTGGTCCCGGTTGTTCAAAAATTGGATAGCGCTATCCACCAGGCCCCAGTTGTTCGAAAGGTGGATAGCGCTATCCACCGGATAAATCACTATCCAGTGGATAGCGCAATTGGTTTCCGTAATGTTTATCCGCTGGATAGTGATTTATCCGGTGGATAGCGCTATCCAACGTTTGAACAACCGGGGCCAGATAAATCGCTATCCAGCGGATAAGTAGTACCAAGACTAATTGCCTTATCCACTGGATAGTGATTTATCCAGTCGATAGCGCTATCCACCTTTTGAACAACCGGGGCCTGGTCTGGAACAAATGGGTGAAACAAACTGACCTAAGTTAAAAACAGATTGAGCTAATTAAGAAACAAATTAACCTACAACATATACATTTTCATGTATCAAACCCAAGGCCAATAGAAGGGTTTGGGGAAGGTGTCTGGACTAGCCTGTTCCAGGCTCTCAGATAGTATAGGTTTTGGAGATTTGTTCGCCTCCAAGAACAGTGCTCTCCAACAAAAGTCACGATAAAGTAGATTTCCACGTTTTATTCCAATATAAACCACGATCTCTTAGTTTTTACAACAAACACGTTCGCTTCCACTCAACTCTCTTTCTATCTCAATTGTCCTTTTTTCTTTTTTAACCCGCATCCGATCAGTTACACAAGGATTGATTTAGAAAAACCGTGTAGTTGTTCGTGATTGGTTCGATTAATCACTAGGTTTATCTCCGGAAATGTCTGCGGAAATTACTAATAGATAAACAGCTTAATGATATCACGCAAAATAACAGAGGTCAATTACTCTCATTTTTTGTCAACTATTGTCAACATAACATAACTCTTAGACAATGCAAAGCTTACCGACAAGGTGATGCATAAGTGAAAGACACATGAAAAATAATATGAGCCATGATCTGTAAAAAAGGGTTATCTCGGAGCCTGGAACAGGTATTTCCTGGGAAAACTAAGGGAGCCACAAACAAGCGCAGAAAGTAACCATGACAACCTTGTGAGTGGTAACCATCAGGCTCGAGGGAGCTTAAGCAACCACGATTAGGACAACAACAAAAACATCAAATGGTATTATGAGCAAAAGAACGTTCTGCACATGCATCATGCTTTTTAGTACATTTCTTGGATGTCCACTGCACGACTACCACGCAAAACCTCCTGATGCAATGTTTTATGTAGGACATGAACATTTGACAACAAATTTTTCTTTCTCTTTTTGAACCTCGATAAAGTCATATTCAACTCCGCGACAGATCACCTACATTTAGCAAATGAAGCTGGTCCAAATAGATGCAGTAAAGTTTGAAAGGATGCAAATTAATTCTTTTAGTGATGTTTTCACTGCTCTTGTCGTCGTCGTTGCCTAAGCTCTCTACTTTCTCTCTGAGAACCTCAGTGGAGAGTTTCACTCGTACAGATACTTATCAAGACACATCCAGGGGAAAAGGGAGGGTAAATCCTTATAATACAAAGCTTGTTCAGTCAAGATGGCTGGCTATGGGTCTCTTTTTAATTTAGCCACACCCTTCCAAGGTCAATGAAGTATGAATGTAAAGCAAGATAAATTACATTAGTTGAGTTGACGTATGCTGAAGGTTAAATGTATGCAGTTTGTTTCAATTATTGGAATGTACTGCATTTATGTGACAGTAAAAGAAATCTTATCTATTTTGCAGGATAAAATTAAGAGAAATAGCCGGAGTGGTAAGTTGAAATGTTTTTATTTACACCTTCAATTGCTCTCTTGTCATGCACATTATTTTATTTCTTGTTGTAGTGTAACTGTATTCATATTGTGTCATCCATATATATTCTGTTTTCAGTTACTGTCTAAAACTGATTCAGATGATCTAATGAATATGTCAAGTGCAAAGCATCAGCTCTCTGGCAATGAACTGCCTGCATTCTCAGATGTCACGTACATACAGATTTTAAGAGGAAATTAATATAATGCAAGGCTTTGGAAACTTCATCAGTGCAAAATTTAAATTGTACCAATTTCAATGAAAATATTTCAAAAAGCTAATGAGATTATTAGGTGAACTGTCATGCCCTTACTTATGTCATGTTGTACTGAAAACAAAGTTAACTTATTGTCGTAAATCTTTCGTTCTTAAAACAGCTATTGATAGTTTTAGGTTGAACATGTAAACCCTTAGTAAGAGACATCTTATTGTTGGAGGTTAAACCTCATATTTGACTTATTTTTGTAAATAGCTGTCACTGAAGTTATTATATTGCTGTTATTAATAATAAGTAAAGTAGGAAAATTATCAATATGCCCACTGAGTCTTGATTAAATTGTCATCAATATCTGTGGAGTATTACAGGTGTATCTAAGGTCTGTTTTACAAGCAGCTTATATAAAATAGTTTTTGCAACACGTTACGTAAGGATGTACATTTGGTATTTTAAAGCTAAAGACCTGTTGTTATAAATTATAGTAATTTTGTGACATCATAATTATTATATTTTTATTTTTATTATTATTGAGTGAAATGTGCTTTTAGCCCACTTCATGATATCTAGATGTCAGATAAGACATTCTTATAAAAATTATTTTATTATAGTTTTATTGCTGTCAGTCTATGTTATGTTAGTATTTATGCTGATCTGGACATTTTTTCCCTAAAAGGCTGAATAAAAATTATTTGAAAGCGATATCTGCTTTTTACATTTTTTGTTATTTGACAATATAAAATTATATTTACTGTTAGGTGGTTCTAACTTTGGAGTCAGTGGATGAAATCCTATGGTGTGACCATTCAAATGAAAGCCACTGAGCAGTACTTTCCTGTGGTACTGTTTATTATGCTGTACAAGGTGGTTCTAACGTTTGAGTCAGTGGATGAAATCCCATGATGTAACCATTCAGGTGAAACCTTTTTGTGGTGCTTAGCATTCAATAATCACCTTTAGAAGAGGTCTTCTCCATGTCAGATCAATGCCAAATCTTCTCAACCACTAACAGTAAATTTTGTTTTTTCGACTGATGTTTGGTATCATGATACAGTTTTGGGGAAAAGCAATAATACCATGAAAATATATATATAATATTAACAGTGGTAACATGATGGTATTTGTTTCCTCTCTCAGCTTGGTTTTTCCAAATAGAACATTTTTCCTGTATGCAGACTCCAAGGAAGAGATGCAAGAATGGATAGATCTCTTAACATGGAAACTGGTAAGATTCCGTGAAAATGTCTAGGTACATTTTACTAACAAGCTTGGTTGTACACTATGTTAGTTACTATATTTTACAAATACAGTCATTTTTCTTGTTGTTGTTTTAAACCACCCAGTAATACCCCAAAGTATGTGTCCCTGTCCTAATAGTTTAATGACCCATAACTCAAATACTAACTTTATGGGTCATTTAAAATGTCAAAACTAATTGGGCTAATGTAGGGTGATGACAAATACACCTTTAGATCATCTAATTAACCTGGTCCCGGTTGTTCAAAAATTGGATAGCGCTATCCAACGTTTGAACAACCGGGGCCAGATAAATCGCTATCCAGCGGATAAGTAGTACCAAGACTAATTGCCTTATCCACTGGATAGTGATTTATCCAGTCGATAGCGCTATCCACCTTTTGAACAACCGGGGCCTGGTCTGGAACAAATGGGTGAAACAAACTGACCTAAGTTAAAAACAGATTGAGCTAATTAAGAAACAAATTAACCTACAACATATACATTTTCATGTATCAAACCCAAGGCCAATAGAAGGGTTTGGGGAAGGTGTCTGGACTAGCCTGTTCCAGGCTCTCAGATAGTATAGGTTTTGGAGATTTGTTCGCCTCCAAGAACAGTGCTCTCCAACAAAAGTCACGATAAAGTAGATTTCCACGTTTTATTCCAATATAAACCACGATCTCTTAGTTTTTACAACAAACACGTTCGCTTCCACTCAACTCTCTTTCTATCTCAATTGTCCTTTTTTCTTTTTTAACCCGCATCCGATCAGTTACACAAGGATTGATTTAGAAAAACCGTGTAGTTGTTCGTGATTGGTTCGATTAATCACTAGGTTTATCTCCGGAAATGTCTGCGGAAATTACTAATAGATAAACAGCTTAATGATATCACGCAAAATAACAGAGGTCAATTACTCTCATTTTTTGTCAACTATTGTCAACATAACATAACTCTTAGACAATGCAAAGCTTACCGACAAGGTGATGCATAAGTGAAAGACACATGAAAAATAATATGAGCCATGATCTGTAAAAAAGGGTTATCTCGGAGCCTGGAACAGGTATTTCCTGGGAAAACTAAGGGAGCCACAAACAAGCGCAGAAAGTAACCATGACAACCTTGTGAGTGGTAACCATCAGGCTCGAGGGAGCTTAAGCAACCACGATTAGGACAACAACAAAAACATCAAATGGTATTATGAGCAAAAGAACGTTCTGCACATGCATCATGCTTTTTAGTACATTTCTTGGATGTCCACTGCACGACTACCACGCAAAACCTCCTGATGCAATGTTTTATGTAGGACATGAACATTTGACAACAAATTTTTCTTTCTCTTTTTGAACCTCGATAAAGTCATATTCAACTCCGCGACAGATCACCTACATTTAGCAAATGAAGCTGGTCCAAATAGATGCAGTAAAGTTTGAAAGGATGCAAATTAATTCTTTTAGTGATGTTTTCACTGCTCTTGTCGTCGTCGTTGCCTAAGCTCCCTACTTTCTCTCTGAGAACCTCAGTGGAGAGTTTCACTCGTACAGATACTTATCAAGACACATCCAGGGGAAAAGGGAGGGTAAATCCTTATAAAACAAAGCTTGTTCAGTCAAGATGGCTGGCTATGGGTCTCTTTTTTATTTAGCCACACCCTTCCAAGGTCAATGAAGTATGAATGTAAAGCAAGATAAATTACATTAGTTGAGTTGACGTATGCTGAAGGTTAAATGTATGCAGTTTGTTTCAATTATTGGAATGTACTGCATTTATGTGACAGTAAAAGAAATCTTATCTATTTTGCAGGATAAAATTAAGAGAAATAGCCGGAGTGGTAAGTTGAAATGTTTTTATTTACACCTTCAATTGCTCTCTTGTCATGCACATTATTTTATTTCTTGTTGTAGTGTAACTGTATTCATATTGTGTCATCCATATATATTCTGTTTTCAGTTACTGTCTAAAACTGATTCAGATGATCTAATGAATATGTCAAGTGCAAAGCATCAGCTCTCTGGCAATGAACATGCCTGCATTCTCAGATGTCACGTACATACAGATTTTAAGAGGAAATTAATATAATGCAAGGCTTTGGAAACTTCATCAGTGCAAAATTTAAATTGTACCAATTTCAATGAAAATATTTCAAAAAGCTAATGAGATTATTAGGTGAACTGTCATGCCCTTACTTATGTCATGTTGTACTGAAAACAAAGTTAACTTATTGTCGTAAATCTTTCGTTCTTAAAACAGCTATTGATAGTTTTAGGTTGAACATGTAAACCCTTAGTAAGAGACATCTTATTGTTGGAGGTTAAACCTCATATTTGACTTATTTTTGTAAATAGCTGTCACTGAAGTTATTATATTGCTGTTATTAATAATAAGTAAAGTAGGAAAATTATCAATATGCCCACTGAGTCTTGATTAAAATTAATTGTCATCAATATCTGTGGAGTATTACAGGTGTATCTAAGGTCTGTTTTACAAGCAGCTTATATAAAATAGTTTTTGCAACACGTTACGTAAGGATGTACATTTGGTATTTTAAAGCTAAAGACCTGTTGTTATAAATTATAGTAATTTTGTGACATCATAATTATTATATTTTTATTTTTATTATTATTGAGTGAAATGTGCTTTTAGCCCACTTCATGATATCTAGATGTCAGATAAGACATTCTTATAAAAATTATTTTATTATAGTTTTATTGCTGTCAGTCTATGTTATGTTAGTATTTATGCTGATCTGGACATTTTTTCCCTAAAAGGCTGAATAAAAATTATTTGAAAGCGATATCTGCTTTTTACATTTTTTGTTATTTGACAATATAAAATTATATTTACTGTAGGACAATAAATTATTAAGATAATATTTATATTTAAGAAATGAGGCAATTCACATTCACCTTTAAGTTTTCTGTTTAAAAATATCCGTCGACTTCGCTCCGTCATTTAACAAATTTAAATGAAATGTCTTCATCCTGGAAATAAGCTAGAAATAAGAGTTTAAGTCCCTAGCAAATCGATGATTTATGTACAAGACTGGAAGTACTGTAGAATTGAATTGCCATTCTCGTGACAATGTTACAATCAGTTTCATGTTTCATCGGTTGTTCAACCGCTTCAAGATATTTCAGCTTGCAATATACTACCGCATGATTTGACGATAGATAAGCCAAGGAGATTGCTTAGAAGTTCATCCAAGGGGAGAGCCGTCGAGAGCCAGTGATTCTCCCTTCCGGTGAATGTTTCATGGAATTGAATGTTTCCGTTCAATTATTTGTTCAGCCGCTTCTAGATATTTCAGCATCTAATATAGAACCCCAAGTTTCGACGTTAAAAGGGCCAAGGAAATTGCAGGGAAGTTCATCCACAGATTTCGCTTTGCTGAATTTACCCTCTAACCAAAGTTTTTTAATCTTGTTTGTACCGTAGTTGCTGATGAAAATGTTTCGCCATTCACCGTTTTGAATATCTTCCTTAACATCCTTTCGATCCAACGATTTACACCTTCTTATCCACAAAAGATCCGTGTTGTAAATAATATCGTGCCATCTCTTGCAAGTCTCGGAAACATTACAAAGGCTTTTAGTGTCCAAAAACGATAATACTTCCAGCGTAATTTCAGGAGGAAGCGAATCAAAGTCGGCAGACATTTTGTTTCAAACGAAGGACAATCCAGAAATGTGAAAATATGCAGATAACAGTCTCCTTTTCCTCTGTCGAAGAAGCTTGTTGTCGAAAGCAGCAGTTTTACTGGACTTTTTGCTTTTAACTACCCAGCGATCTATTGATCGAACTTCTTTCCGTGAAGAAAGATGTACAAAACAAACTTTCGCTTTGTTTTCAATATATTGTTTACACGCGTAAAACTACGTCAGCTGGAAGGGGCTTACCCCGCGAGATAGAGTACAAAGTGCGACGTCATAATAATGAAATTTTCTGAAATTATGGGATTTGTCAGGATATTCTGAAAGAACAATGTCCAAGAGGTCCTAAAGAGGCCTACTTGCCAAAAATGAGCATTTAGGGGAAAATTAAGCCCAGTTATGCTTAGAAATAAACTCTATATAAACCCTTCTAAATTTTTTTGGGTCGACCCCCCCAAAAAATTAGAAGGATTTGTATGGAGTTTTCTGATCATGAGTATAACCGGCTAACATCTCATAGACGATTTGCCCCCAAATGCTCATTTTTGGTAAGTAGGCCTCTTGGACATTGTTTTTTCAGAATATCCTGACAAATCCCATAATTTTAGAAATTTCATTTTTATGACGTCATCACTCTAGTACTCTATTGCTATGGTAACTGGCGGCTGAATCTTCTACATATGTAATGGACTGGACTACGGGAGTTTCATCTCCGAAGGTGAAACCGGACCGAACCTGCGATCAGGCTTCTTTTTTTCTCAGAAAGAGAAATAAACTTGGTGCTTGCTTGTTTATGTCCTCCATAAAACGCGAAATTCGGAATTTTCACGTCCTAGCCGTGCAAAAACGACAAAGAAATGTACAAAAAAGTGTGATGCATGTGCAAAGTTGTTGTGTTGCTCATTAAACCTATTGTTTTTTTTACGTTCTCGTTGCGTCCCTATTATCTTACGCGCGTCCTTGAGGTTTCTTTCTTCGCGTTAAAAAAAACTGAGTCAACTAAAAGGAGTAAAGGAAGACAGAGACCAACTCCAGATGACCGTTCTAGCGAGGTGTCCGTCTTGTAGAGGTGTCCCTTGAGAGCGAGTAGACTGTATAGCTTTTCTGACGTTCTTGTTGTTGTCGCCGTCGTCATTGCTAAAGCTCCCTATTCTCTCTCTTGAAGACGAACACCTCAAAAAGCGAAAAATTATTGTTGGTCCTTGCCTTTCTTTACTTGCTTCAGTTGACTTTCTATAAGACGAACATCTGCCTAAGAGGGACACTTAGTGCCGGTGCTAAAGGTGTCCATCTTACAGAGAGTTGACGGTATATATATTACCGTAAATCCTCTATTAAGCCGCCCCCCACACCTCTAATCGAGCCCCCCTTTTCAGGGGAAGAAAGTTAATAAGCCCCCCTTCCCAAACCTAATTATTCTGGCTTATTCACAACTGGAAGTTCGGATTTGTTTTTGATCCTCGACTGCATGACCTCCAACTTCTTGGGCTTGAGCTTTTCCACTTTGTATTCTAGTTTTTTTTGGAGAACTGATACCATCGTCTTTGCTAAATTAAATAATCCCCCCTTAAATGTGTTTGAAATAAATAAGCCCGGGGGGGAGGCTTAATAGAGGATTTATGGTATGTATTAAGGAAGAGTATGATCGCAGGCAAGAAAAAATCTAATCCACTCATTATTAAAAATTAAAGTGAAGTTTAGGAAAAAGTGAAGCGTGAAATAGGCCAGTCTTTATGTTAAAAGCCTAAACAGACTTTAACTAAGAGCTTTCAAAGTTTTAGGAGAGTTCAGCGCGAAAAAAGCCAATCTAGATAGAAACATAATCTAAACGGAGTGGCAAAGGGGGGTACCTATCACGTATCACGCCGATTTTTTTAAGCTATCACGCATCACGGAAAAATAAAATAAAATATTAACAACTTTAAAATGTATCCTATTATCATTTGATCATAACTATGTATTTTTAACGTCTCTGCTTCTAGTTTCAAGTGATATTAACAATCATGGAAATTTCAAAGGAAAATCTCACGTCACGCGTTGTGAAAATAGCCGTGAAATCACGCATCACGCTGCTACGCCCAATCACGCCTCACGCTGCTAATTCGGGCCCTATCACACATCACGCTGATAATTTAGGCCCCATCGGCACGTCACGGAAAACCCCTTTGCCACCCTGTCTATAGTGTGATTTCTAAGAGAGAACCAAAGCCCGAACGGGAAAACTACTGACAATGAGCATGTGGAAATAAAGGGAAATACATGTTTTCTTTCCCTCTAGCCTGCGTGGCATGCGCCGATCATGAGTTTTTTGGTTAGTTGTTTCTCCTCTCCTTTTCTCCTCTCGTGTACGCGCGCTGCGTCCTCGAAATTCCTCCCAGGCTAACTACGCAGGCTAAACTTGCCATCAACTAAGACAGGGTTGCCACCCTTGGCAGTTTTGCGGTAATTATAGCGCTACAAGTCCTACACAGTCACAGTCTTCTCGTGATGACGAAAATGAAAACACAAAACGATTATCACATGGCGAAGGCTAGTTGTAAAATGATTCTGCAATGCCTTGCACTCTTTACAGGTTTTGGCAAAGCCCGCTCTCATGCAACCCTCAGCTAACTGATGAATTCAACGATTTAGGTATTTGAAAGGGTCAGTGTCTAAAGTATATCGAACGGAGGTGCACCCGCTGCAACAGAAAAGAAAATAGGAACCTTTTAAAGATGCGAGGACGGCGACGGCAGGTAAAACGTCGCTTAAAAAGTAAGTTCGCGGTTTTTTAAATCTTCATCGCAATAATTCAAACTCACTTACTTTGTCGAATGTATGCGAACGCTCCTGGAGTTGAATTCCTAAGAGCCTTATCTAAAGTAAGAGGGAGAAAGAAAATTTCGTCGCTACGTGTTTACATCCTCTGTAAAACATGAAATTCGGTATTTTCACGTCGTAGACGTGCAGTGACGGCAAAGAAATGCACAAAAAAGCGTGATGCACGTGCAAAGTTGTTGTTTTGCTAATTAAACCTGACGCTTTTTTGAGGCCAGTCTCGTTGCCGTCGTCTGAACTCAAAGTCCTCAATAAAGTTACAAGGCTAAGCCTCCTGCGCGCAGGGGTGCAGCGTTTTTACTGTAGTAAAGGAGGTTAAAGATAAAGACTCCGCAGTCTCTCAGCAGTGTAGGGTAAAGCACCTTTACAGCATTGCTGCCCCTCCCTAGGGGTCCGGGGCGGGGTCCGCGCGGTTCCATCGAAATAGTTCACCGCACGACATCTCCAACATTCGGCTTCGTCACTAGATTTGTCAAAAACACCTTCACTACGGTGATTAACATAAGCAGAATCATATTCACAGTCCCCACATTTACAGTCATTGTTGAAGAGGTTATATTCAAGATCTTGCCTCAAATTCAGAAATCGAATTTATTCATCCTACGGAAGTAATTTCCGAGGCCGTTTTGTTTATTTATCTTTTGCGCGGTACCCTTGCAAAAAATAAGCGCTGCGTCACACGAGATAGGGCACTTTGTGCGAAAAATAACACATTTTACTATTTCGATGGAACCAACCCAAGAGAGAATGAGCTAAATCATTCTCTCTTAATGACCAACCCCATTACTGGAAAAGGTATACAAAAACGGTCTCATACCACAATTATGGCTCCTGGTATAATGTTGGCTGTTAGCATTTATATTTATACACCCGAGTGAAGAGAGATAAAGTGAGAAACGCTTTTGTCCAAAGCTTTTTGGTATGGCTTTCGCACTGTGATACAATCCAGTTGTGGCCAGTTGTCTGTCAGACTAGAAGCAATTTTGATTAGTTGGCGTGCACGTGTATAGAAACTGCTTCTTTTGAAATTTTAAGGTATTCATGACCGGCTGACTAAGCAGGCAAAGCTATGATAGGCCAGTAAAAACACTGACCCCGATATTTTTAAAGTTGATGTTACTATAAATATTTGCTTTTTTCAGTTTGCAGCAAACGAGAGTCAGGATCACTGTGCTAAATACCTTCGAGGCAAAAATTCCATTCCTAACTAAGGTGGGTACAGCTAATTGTTCAATGGACAGTTGGAGGAACTTGCTCCGGCCAAATTCGAAACTGAATTGAACCGGTTGGGTTTGATTTTGTACCAGTTTTGCTTTAAACTGTATGTCGTCGATCAGGTTTTTGAGTTTGTGTTGCGTAACGTCTCCACTAAAAACTATTTCATGGGCCCAATGACGCTCAAAGACCTATAATGGCGATAGTTTGATAGATGGATTTTCGAAAGGTGAAAAGTTACGTTTAAAGCTGCAAAAAAAAAAAGCAATATTTCTAAGTGGTAAAGACAGAAATGTAAAAAAATCTTCTTCAATATTCATCTTGCAAAGTTCATTAACCGTATGACCCCATAAAAGAAAATCTTTAGCATTCATTTGCACAGATGTTTTCTTAAGAACGCTTCAAAGTGCGCCATCTTTCTTTCAAAAGTCTAGAATAAATACAGTTGCCCAGTTTTCCCCTCATACTTTGTTTTCTGTATGTTATTCGTGTTTATGCAGCTTGCTAGACTGACTATCGGCATAAGTATGGAAATTGGCCGCCCAAACCAGTTTGACTAGTTCCACGAACTTATGACGTAGATTAGACTTCCTTTTGTGCATCGCTAACCGGATCATCTATTTTACGAATATTAGAAATGATCACTCACGTTCTGGCGTTCTATACCCAACCTCATCTAAAAATGGTTCTCCTTATATGGCATGATTATACGGCTTTAAATTTTTCTTCACAAATACATATCAAGAAGTTACTTGTAATGTGTAATTTCGAACATTTTGAACACAGCCTTATCGGCAGTTTCAAACTAGATTCTAGGCTTTGCCCCGGTGTAGTGTGGGACGGAGCATCTGTTCCAAAGCACGAAGAATTCATTCTTGCTTTACTAGTTTGCGTGTGAAAGCGTAAACAAGTCTTTTGAACTAAAGTTGTAAACACGCCTGTAACAAGTCCCCGACCTCCATAACTCCACTGACGCATAACTGATGGCAGTGATTGATGCGCACTTGCAAATATAATTCAAGTTAAGTGTGGCCTACTTTTACAATTAAAGCCTGGGTTAAACAGATGAAAGCAGGAGCCACTGAATGGCCATTTGAGCATGTTCTCAGTGAAGGTTTGGAAAACTCTTTCTGCGTTCAATAGTCGTTCTTTTTGCCCGTTTAGTTTCCAATTTTCCCTATGCTGAACGCAAGCCATTAAGTATATAAAAACGCCCATGCAACGAACAAGTTGCCGGCACAAGTTGCGTGTACGTGTTGACCGTTAAAGAGCATTAAACCCTTAAAGCGACCTTTTCCTTGCACAAAGCAAACCCTGGCATGCAGTAGGGAGAGGGGTAGGATTAAACAAACCAGATTATTATTTAATAATCCTTTCGGTGCTGCCAATCAACGAAATACGTCTAAACCAAGAAAGATCGGAGAACCGCTAGATGAGAGTTCGCATTTTCACGGAAAGCATAAAGCGTGTCTCATGATAAACGCGTCTGTGAAAACGCCGTCTCTTAGTGTGTATGGAAATTATTTCACCCTGCCCACTCCTCATGGGTTATGTGTTTTCTAATTTGTTTCTAAAGTTGACCTCTTTAAAAATCTAGCATACTTTTAAAATTTTATTTGCTGATGCAAGCAGATAATGTCGAAGCTCGTTGAAGTGACAAAAAATTTCTTATCACTAGTAGCCAAAGAAAATATCCCGGCAGGATCGTTTCTAGCTGATGTCTGAGGACCAATGGTAAGTCAGGCCACACCCTACACCATTCAAGTGGATGTCAATAAACACGTGGATCCTGTTGGCCCGTTAAAACGCACTAACCAATCCTGTAATCCAATCTTGATTGGCCTGATTGCACGTGTACAGAAACTGCAATTTAAAGTATTCATGAGCGGCTGACTAAGCAGGCAAAGTTTTGATAAATATTTGCTTTTTTCAGTTAACAGCAAACGAGAGTATCACTGTGCTAAACACGTCAAAAGTTTTATAAGGTAGGTTATAGCTTATTGTCTAATGGACAGATGGAAGAACTTCTCCCGGCCAAATTCGAAACTGAATCGAACCGGTTGGGTTTGATTTTGTACCAGTTTTGCTTTAAACTGTGTGTCGTCGATCAGGTTTTTGAGTTTGTGTTGCGTAACGTGTCCACTAAAAACTATTTTATGGGCCCAACGACGCTCAATGGCGATAGTTTGATTTAGGGATTTTCGAAAGGCGAAAAGTTACGTTAAAAACTGCAAAAAAAATGCTTCTTAGTGGTGAAAGACGGGAATGTAAAAAAATCATGTTCAGTATTCACTATGCAAAACAGTTCATCAACCGTATGACTAAACGTTTCTCTACGCATTCATTTGCACAGATGTTTGCTCAACAACGTTTCAAAGTGGGCCATCTTTCTTTCAAAAGTCTAGAATAAATACAGTTGCCCAGTTTTCCGCTCATGATTTATTTTCTGCATGTTATTCGTGTTTATGCAGCTTGCTAGACTGACTATCGGCATAAGTATGGAAATTGGCCTAGCTCCCAAACCAGTTTGACTAGTTCCACCAACTTATGACGTAGATTAGACTTTGTTTTCTTGCGTCGCTAGCCGGATCTTTTACTTTACGAATATTAGAAATGAGCAGTCGCGTTCTGGCGTTCTGTATACAACCTCATCTGAAAATGGTTTTCTTTATCTTATGGCATGATTGTAAGGCTTTAAATTTTTCTTCACAAACACATCAGGGGCACCCAACGTCAATTTTCGGAAGACGATTTGAGATCTAGAATTTTCGGAACATTTGTTCATAGTTATTAGAGGAGACTGGTTATGAAAAGCGACAAACATCAATGATAAAAACAACAGTGCTGCAGTTTATGTTAGAAGCACCCTGAAAGTGCACAATCCTTTGTTTTCTGTTGGCAAATTGTTACGGAATAAATTAATGTAACGTTTTTATTGGTCAATACAATCAAAATTAGAGGAATTCTTTTGAACGTTGTGCACTTTCAGGTCCACAAAAACATATAACAAAGGAGTCTGACGGGCCTTCATAACCATTCCACTCAATTAACTATGATTTGTTGTAAAATTTCTTGCTTGCCTGCCTCTCCTAGGACATTCGAACATTTAAAAAATGGTGAAATTGCCCATTTTTAACGAATTTTTACCCTAAAAAGGTCACCTAGAATTTTCGGAAGCCTTTTTCTGGCTGAAATTCTCGAAAAGGTAAGTTTTGATGCCTATAATTTTCGAATCACTAGACTTTCAGTTAGGAAATCCGAACAGATGAAAGATTCTTAGGGGATAAAAATATGCCGTTAAAATACTAAAATACGTTTAACAATGCTACATTTAAGTGGTTTTGAACTATATTCTCGTTGGGTACCCCTGATACATGACAAGAAGTGATTTGTAATGTGTAATTTAGAACATTTTGAACGCTGCCTTAAGGTCAGTTTCAAACTAGATACTATGCTTTGCCCAGGTGTAGTATGGGACGGAGCATCTATGTATTTCTCTAAGCACGAAGCCATTCTTTCTTGCTTGAAAGCGTAAGCAAGATCTTTCGAACTAACGTTGTAAACAAGCCTTAGCCTGTAACAACTCCCCGACCTCACCCCGGCGGAAAAAAAAAAAATTTAAATAGCCCGAAATAGCAAAACCGCCTAAAGGTACCGTGACTCCACTGACGCTTAACCGATGGAAGAGATTGATGCACAGTTGCAAATATATTTCAAGTGTGGCACACTAGCTATTACCATTATGGCCTGAGACAAACTGATAAATCCAGGAGCCACTTTATGGTCTTTTCACCATACATGTTCTCAGTGAAATTTTGAAAAGAAAAGCCCTTTCTCCGTTCGATAGTCGATATTTTTGCCCGTTTAGTTTCTCATTTTCCCTACGCTGGGCGCAATACTACGATCAAAACATTTTTTCCACAGATTCTCTTAATCCCGCCATTAAGTATATATAAACGCCCATGCAACGAACAAGTTGCGGACACAAATGATATCTTGTGTACCTGTCGACCGTTAAACCTTCGAAGCGACTTTAATTTTTCCTGCTACAAAGCAAACTCTGGCAGTAGGGAGAGGGGTCGGATAAAACAACCCAGACTATTATTTAATTGTGCTTTCGGTAAAGCCAATCAAAGAATACGTGTAAACCAAGAAAGATCGGAGAGCCGCTAGATGAGAGTTCGCATTTTTGCGGAAAGCATCTAATCTAAAGCATGTCTCATAATAAACGTGTCAGTGAAAACGCCGTCTCTTAGTGTGTTTGGAAATTACTTCACCCTGCCCACTCCTTGTTACGTGCTTTTTGAAGGCACATCTTCAATTTTGTAAACGATACTTGGAGGTAAACGACAAAGCTTCTAATATAGCTTGTAGAGCAGAGCTTGGTCGTTTTCCTTTAAATATCACAATCAATCAAAAAATTCTCAAATACATTTTGTATATACAGTCTAAAGATGAAGAATCTCACGTCAAACAAGCTTTTTAAATGTCATTCGACTTACACTGTAATGGCAAAAATAGCTTCCACTCTCATTTAATGAATATGTCAGAATACTTTAAGCTTCCTGACTTTAACCCTGATTTATTAGATATAGCTATGGTAAAAAGCTATGTAAGTTCAATCACGAGAGAATGATCTCATTCTCTCTTGGTTCAATGAAACAGGAATATATCTCATATTGGCAAAACATCCTTCTCAACATTCTCAAAAACTTGAATTGTATAGATCTTTTAAAACCGATCATACCTCCTCTAGTTACTTAGACTTAACAAGAGGAACAGCTGGGAGAAGTGCTTTAGTAAAACTACGAATAAGCAATCACAAACTAATGATAGAAACAGGCAGATACAATCAAACTACGAAGGATAATAGGCATTGCCATTTTTGTGGATGCAATGTAATAGAAGACGAAGTTCACTTTCTTTTTCAATGTCCTACATACTCTATGATTAGGAATACATTTTACTATAAAGTCGACTCTGATTCCAAATATTACCCAGTTACCTATAAACGGTTTGATGAATGATCTGATGAACTCTTCTAATTACTTTATCAATATACAATTCACAAAGTATATTTCAGCTATTTTTGATGTTCGTGACAAATTATTATCAAAGTAACGTAATTGCCCTGTGTTGTAATTTTGATTCCTAAACATAGCTTTTGCAATACTGTATGTGTTTGTATGGTCATGTAAATAAAGATCGTTGTTGTTGTTGTACTCTGTTTCCAAACTTGACCTTTTTAAGTCTAGGATACTTTTTGATTTTATTTGCAGATGCAAGCCGATAATGTTGAAGTCGTTGAAGTGACAAAGGGCTTCCTGTCCCTGGTAGCCAAAGAAAATATTCTGGCAGGATCGTTTCTTGCTGATGTCTGGGGACCAGTGGTGAGTCGGGCCACACCCTACACTATTCAAGTGGATGTCAATAAACACGTGGATCCTGTTGGCCCGTTAAAACGCACTAACCATTCCTGCAATCCAAATGCCAAGTTCGTTTATGAACCACGCCTGAAGGAGGATGAAATCATGGGCTTCGATAAAGACCACAAAATCTTTTGGCAACTGGTGGCCACACGTGACATCAAGAAAGGAGAGGATATAACTTTTGATTACACCACTACTGAGTACGAGATGGCGCGAGCTTTCAAATGTCTCTGTGGAGTCGCAAATTGTTTGGGTGAAGTTAAAGGCTTCAAGTTCTTATCACCCAAGGAAAAGGCTCGCAGAGAAAAGGAATTATCTCCAGTGATGAGAAAACTGCACTATAATTTAATGTCACCTGCGTAAACAGTTCTTGGCATTCCAAAACGTTGAGATAAAAACGTTTTCGTACACAAACTAATCAACATTAGTAAAATCCAACTAGTGGTCTATTATCAATGCTGCGTTCTGATTGGTTGAGCTACTACTAGGCTGTATGTTACAGCCCCATAGTAGCGAAAAGCGCGGGCTTTTTGGCGGCAAAAAAGGATTAAAGGCTAGCTTTAACTAGCTTTAATAAGCCTTCAGCCTCATCGGCTATTGACTCAGAGCCCATTCGGGCTCGAGGAATAATTGTTAATTAGCTAACATTTGCAAATATCTGATAAGAGTTGTAGAAAGTCTAAATGTAATAAAGTCCTAAATGTAATAAACATTTGGCCCATGTAATAAACTTTTAAGAGTGATAGCATTAGGCATGAAATGTAGCGATGTCATACTAACGCATCAATGACGTAAGTAACACGTCATTAACCAGCTACCTGGTTATGACAATGGCCATATGATCTCTCGCGCCATCTGTCCATAGGTATATATTTTGAAGCCTTGGACTTGTTAGTGAACGGGATCAAGTCTAGATTGATCAACCAGGTTACAATAAAAATCTATACGAATCTCGAAAACATGCTTTTCAAGACAGTTTCCGGAGGCCATTTCTTAAGTGAGTCATTATCAACCTGAAACTTTTATGGTTCAGATATAAGCGGGGAACGTCTTGAAACGCAGCTTTTATTTTGAAAATGCATGCTCAAGAAAGTTCTATAGCCCCTGTGTCATCCATGATAGAATTTCTTAATGCAAATGGCGTTGCTTCATTCAGTGAGACTGCAACAGTTTTAGTGAAACTGATATTAGTTATCAGGGGCGGATCTAGGGGGAGGGTGCAGGGGGTGCGCACCCCCACCTGAGATGACCGACGGTTTTCTAATACAACTGGTATTCTGCCAAAAAAAAAAAAAATGCGGTTTATTGGTGTTGAAGTAGAGCAAGAGACGAGTGCACTCCCTCCTAAAAAAAATCCTGGATCCGCCCCTGGTTATGCCTGCCACAAATTCTTTGAGTAAAAGGTCTTACAGTGCCTTAAAAAGAATCGAGAATTACCTTAGGTCTACCGTGACGTAAAAAGGATGAACAACCTTATGCTGATATTTCTAACGACTTTTACACCGGAAACTCTCACAGGTTGTCAAAATAGTCCAGTTTCGAGTTCCAAATGACCGCTGAATTAAAGAAGTGAAGACGCTTTTTTTACAGGCTTAGCCTCCATCTGAAGTAGAATATTCACAAATTCCAACGAGACAAAGATCTGTTTATTACTCTATCTATTGTTTATATTCAAATTTCAAACACTTACTTGCCGGAATTTCTGAATATTTTACTTTATGCCGAGGATATAAACCCTGTGTGAATGTGTCGTTAATGTTTGTATTCAGCGGTAATTTTTAATTCGAAACTAGACTATTTGGACACTTTTCAGAAGTAGACCTATGTTGAACATTTAGCTAATTGATTAGTACTGATGAAAACCACTATATTTACAATTTAACTGTGGCTAAACTGGTTTGTATAGATTCCATAGCCTCCACTGTCACAATAATATGGTACTCGATGGACACATCGGTCCCTTCTTTTCTATCGTCTGGTAAAGCCTGTCTATAATATCTGTTTTATGCTTCGGGTAATATTAATTGTCTTCATTTTAGGGGACGTCAATTTTCGGAAAATATCTGTTCGGAAGACGATTTGAGATCTAGAATTTTCGGCACAGTTGTTGTAAAACTTCTTGCTTGCCTGCCTCTCCTAGGATTTTCGAACATCTAAAAATTGTTATAATTGCCCATTTTTAACAAATTTTTACCCTAGAAAGGTCTCCTAGAATTTTCGGAAGCCTTTTTCTGGCTGAAATTTTCGAAAAAGTAAGTTTTGATCCCTATAATATTCGGATCACTAGACTTTCAGCTAGGAAATCCGAACAGATGAAAAATTTTTAGGGGATAAAAATATGCCTATATCTACCGTTTAAATACTAAAATACGTTTAACAATGCTGTGTTTAAGTGGTTTTGAACTATATTCTCGTTGGGTGCCCCTGTCATTTCAGATTAGGTATTCAAATGTTAGGTCCCAGTTTAAAAATAAGTTGCTGTTTGAAATAAGTGTTGACCCCTCCGGCCCTCCCATGCCGAGCCCCTTATCACGCCCCAGACCAACCCTGTTTACGCCTGATTCACGTGAACACAACCTGTTCCTATTGAATGTTAGAGTATTGGTTTCGCATAATCAGCTGATACAATAAGCCAGTAAAATCACATCCCTCGATATTTCTCCAAGTTGAGCCTTTACTTTAAGCCGGTGATCATCTTGATTGAAGGTTGATAAGTGTATTTCAAAGCACTAAAATACGACAAGGTAAGCGAAAAAAACTCTTTTTGTCTCAGTTTCCGGCTTCCAAGAATGTTGTAACGCGCGTCGGGTGGTTTAGCCAGAACAAACCGGTCATGTTCTTTTCGCATCTTCGTCGAATGCACAGTTTTCTAAATATGGTACTTGTATCGATGGATGGAGGACAAAAGTTGGCCCAACTTTGCAACCGGGACTGTAGTTTACCGAGTAAGATTCTACACAAATTTTACTTTAAATATAGCATAGAATATAAGCTTGTTGAATAACCAGTAGTCAATCCGGTTTTACCGTCTGTTACGTAACTTGGCCGAAGTTGTACGATGCACTGTACGAGTTTGACTAAATGTGGCGTGGTAAATCCAGGCAATAACACATAAAAGATCTAGAATGTGGACGGTTTTAGAAACGTCCAAAAACGTTGCGTGCAGAGCAGATAACGGGTACAAAAGGGCTCTGGTTTATTGAAAATGCACCAATGAGCATTAAACAACAGATCGGACTTAAACAGCAAGCAAGATCTCATGGGAAATGACAGTTTAAAGCGGCCAATGGCCAACACTTTAACTTATGGCCTAAAATCGTGGCGGTTTGCGGCACCAAAACTCTGGAATTTAATACCTGACTAATCGATCATACAGAACTACTATACCCGTCTATCGCACTGTATAATCTGTATAACTTTCATGTTATTTGTGAAATTCATTCTGCAATTCTCTAGTTCTACATTTTATCATTTTAATTAGTTATTTTGTGTATATTTTAGTTATTTTTTAATTCTTACTTTCATGTGTAATACCTGTAAAGTAGCTAGTGCGTGGTCTCACAAAAGCTACGTATACATGCAGAATATCGTATCTGGTCGTTGACCCACGGTCTAATACAAAGATATTTGATCTTGTGAACATCTTTGTATATAACAGGAGTTTCTTGTTATCACGATTATCATGCTTAGATTCTTAAGGAACTCCTTCTTTTCATAGAAGAACTCTTCGAAAGGCGAAATGTGACCGCAAAAAATGCCTGATGAGTAACGCAGAAATGTGTTTTAATCGGGCTCTCAATTGTCCACTATGCAAATGTTTTCATCTTAAGTAGAAAACTATTAGCATTTTTAGCCCTGTTGATGTTTGTACTTAACGCTTTTACGCGTTCCTTGCTCGGTCAAAAGTTTTTTCGAATACAAAAAATTCCCAGTTTTTCACTCCTACTTTGTTGCCTCTTGCTACCTCTTGTGTAACAGTCTATCGGCATTAGCACGAAAACCACGATTTTTAGTCGGCCGGCCACGCATAAACCGGTTTGACCAGCTCCACCGACTTATAATATAACAATTTTAAATGGCGTAGGAACCGGGGGGAGGGTGGGGTGAGGAAGCGAGGAGTGGGAGGGGGGGCTCAAGTTCCGCTTCGCCTATTTCCAGTGGTATCCCCTGTATTGTATTTTAAACTCTTTTTTTTATGCTTGTTTTCAATTTAATTCAGTTCAATCGACTTTATTTAAACATGGTAAATGCCCCAGCAAGCTGGTTTTGAGACATATCGTGCCGTGTTTTGCGAGAAAATTGGTCATAAAACTGAGTAGTCTTGTTCCTTTTTTAACCATGTTAACGGAACTTCTCGGACAGTAACTGATATCAGGCCCAATTTTAGCGGCTCTCTAACGGCTACCGCTAAAATTGGAGGCTCTCTCGTTTCGCCTTGTCCGCCGGAATGTTATTTACAAAGGGAAACGAAAATTGAGCCCGGGGCCCGTTTCTCGAAAGCCCCGATAATTAACGGGCCCGGTAAGCTGTCTCCGTTTACAGTAAAGATCGAGGTTTCAATAGTTTTGCATCTAACATGATCAAACTGTCAGTTAATGAAACAAAATGGAATAGTTTGCTAGCCAGGACCCGCGCTCTTATTCTTTATATTTCGATTTGAATATTTGATTTCGGGCCCGTAAAGTTACCGGGACTTTCGAGAAACGGGCCCCTGATCTCAGGTTATGAGCCTAAGTTAAGTTCGACAATAAGGTTCGGCACGAGTGGAGCGGCGTCTGAACCAGGCCTAAGAAATGTACAAAAAAGCGTGATGCACTTTGTTTTGCCAATATAAACCTAGTGCTTTTTTGCCGTTCTGACGTCACTGTCGCCGTCGCCGAGTTGGTTAAGCCCTCTAATCCCATATGGGACGTGTACAGCACCTGTTACGAAATCTAAATATTCTAATTAAATCAGTAAAAGTACTGATCCGGAGTAGAGTTTGAAAGTTGGTTGTTAAAAAGAATCACACGTCGGGCGTTTTTATAAGTCAAGTTCTGAAAACTAAAAAAGAAGCATCCTTTATATGGTGAGTGAAAAACGTCGCTTTAAAAAATTTGTTCCTGTTTGGTCTAGCTACTTTTAAGTTAGAGAAAAACGACGGCGTAGACTTAAGTCTGTTAAAGGGGACGGCAAGGGGAGTCCGACATGGAAGCCGAGGCTGTATTTCTATGCACCTGGACCCCTGATAAGCGCAAAGTCGTTTCTTTTCAAATAAAAGTCGGCCCCAAATGAGCCATCACTTTTTTATCGATTCTAACTTTTACTCAGAAAACTCTTAAATGTTGTGGATTGTCTGCAGCGGGTTATTTTCAGTCATCACATTCACTGAAACATCAAGGGCCAGCAAGAAGTCTTATTTGCATACACTCTGCGCTACACGACAACACAGCTCACGCGTAACCAGACTATAATAGCAGTGTACAGCTATATTGAAAGACTCTTGTAGATATCAAAGGCGATGGAAAAATGGCGGAAAACGTCGTTCGAAAAGTGTTCGAACAACAAAACCTGTCCGAAGTAAAACCTGATAATACGCGGATAACTGTCTCAACCGAGGTTCTTATCCCTGCATTGGTGGTTTTCATTTTCACACCATCGAAAACTAAAATCAAAACCGTGGAATGTCTGGAGCCAAGAATTTCAAATATTATAGAATATCGATAAATTAGCAACCTGGCGAAGTCTAACGTCTGTGCAGTTTTCCGCTGCTGAGTTGTTCTTCAAAATGTGTAAATGTGTAAATGCGACTCGTCCCGTGTAATATCACCTTCGGCATTACACGATTTTATATTTTGTTTGAATAAACTATACATGTTATCTAGAGCTTCGCTTTTATTAATAATCCTACAAAACTGTCTCAAAATTCAGTAGAAGATATCACCTTTTACGAATTGAAAATCTACGAAGGTATTTTAATGTCATTTGCAGATGCAGGCCGATAATGTGGAAGTCGTTGAAGTGACAAAGGGTTTCCTGTCCCTGGTAGCCAAAGAAAATATCCTGGCAGGATCGTTTCTAGCTGATGTCTGGGGACCAGTGGTGAGTCAGGCCACACCCTACACTATTCAAGTGGATGTCAATAAACACGTGGATCCTGTTGGCCCGTTAAAACGCACTAACCATTCCTGCAATCCAAATGCCAAGTTCGTTTATGAACCACGCCTGAAGGAGGATGAAATCATGGGCTTCGATAAAGACCACAAAATCTTTTGGCATCTGGTGGCCACACGTGACATCAAGAAAGGAGAGGACATAACTTTTGATTACACGACTACTGAGTATGAGATGGCGGGGGTTTTCAACTGTCTCTGCGGAATGGAAAATTGTTTGGGTGAAGTTAAAGGCTTCAAGTTCTTATCAGCAGAGGAGAAGGTCCAAAGGGAAAAAGAATTATCTCCAGTGATGAGAAAACTTTTAAATAGTCTTATTTGAGCAGTGCTAGACAGTCTTTTGTAAGCATTGAACACGATAACGCGTTGAAAAAAAAAATGAAAAGAAATTCAGTGGAGAATAGGTAAAAGCTTTTGGTGTAGTGATTTCTTGAATCGTTTAGGTGGACAAACGTTAGTTATGATTGGTCCCTGGTATCCAAGGCAACCATTTACCAAACATGAGTAAGGCTTCACCACCAAAGCGATCTTAGAGATCATTTCGCCGAAAGCTTGTTCCCATCTCCCTTATAGTAACTAAAGTGGGCAATATATGCTTGATGTAGGTTCCTGTGGTGACGTCATCAGATCCATTTCCTTAAATCGCGGCCAACCTGGCAGGTTGTGTTTGAAGGGGAGAATTTAAAACTTATTTTCCGAGTGAAAAGTTTCGACCACACGTTTAGTTTGGCTAAACTTGATAGTTACAACTGAGACTGCTTCAAAGTAGAACTTACCACTATTGTCACTATTAAATTAAAGGCACTAAAATTACAGTTTAATTAACGCCTGTCCTTGTCAGTATTTAAGGGAAAAAGGGTTGTCAAACTAAAGGGACTCGAACGCGGTTTAACGATTGAATATCTTAGATGGAGTTGCCGGGATCTCCTCGTTCTCGAAGGCCACGATCCGGCGACGCCAATGAAAACTTCGCTAAAAAATAGACTTCGCTTCCTTTTTAAACTTATTCGCCTTTATACCAAGTCACCCAGTTACCTGAAAGTAGGGATGTTAGGTCGGAACTCAAGAGAGTCGACCGCTTTTGAGTTTAGCCTGAGAGAGATGGTAAAATATTTCGCCTTGCCGTTCCACATCGTAGTTGTGCAGGGACTGCAAAGAAATTTGTAAAAAAAGCGTGATGCACATGCAGCGTTGTTGCTTTGCTAATAAAACCAATAGACCTTTTTACCGACCATCGGCCATATTGAATTTATTAGATTTAAGGAGTATTATGGGATGTCCAGGGGGCACTCGCTCAGTATTTATGCGCCCTTTTCGGGCAAAAAGAGAACTTCAATGCATATTTCTCGGGAAAAATGCGATTATTTAATATTACTTCCAAACACGGCACATCGATCTTTTTTTCCCATTAGAATCTTTTTGTAGGAAATCTAAAAGAAAAATTGGCCCGAAAAGCGCGCGTAAATACTGAGCGAGTATATCGGATCGTGCTCATGCAACCGGCTCCTAGCATCCCATAATACTCCTTAAATCTAATTAATTCAATATGGCCGCCGTATCGGTAAGAAGGTCTATTGTGTTTTGGACGTTCTCGTTCAGCCCTATTCAGGGGAAGTGGGCACTTTTTCTGGGTCTCAAAACCCGGACTTCTGCTGGGTCCCAAAACCCAGATTTAACCTCCATCCTGTAGCCCTATACGTGGAGGCTCCGCCCGAAAGAGGTACCTTTTTCAGGCTTCAGGTACATCAAAGGGTAAGGATTTCACTAAATGAAGTATATGAAAGCGTAGGGAAATCTGTCATACAGGCGTATATACAGGCCAAAAGAGCTTACATATGCATTTCATGGCCGGGAAAAAGTCGAGAAAACGTCCTGGCTTATATTTATTCATCCATTTAAGTAATGTAGGTAAGCATTCATGGTTTACTACTGTAAGGCATCTATTACACTTTACTAAATTAAGTGATTACACTCCAAATCTGCCCCATCTTGACTACAGGAGAATTCCTCACCTGGTTAAAATGTTTAAAAGAAATTTGTTAAAACAATACCAGGAATATTGGTCGAAAAATTTGAACAAGGATAAATTCGACTCCTCAGTTGGAAATAAATTAAGTCTGTATAGTGAACTGAAAACGAAGTCAGATTTGAATCTTACCTTGATTTAATAAAGAACGTTAAGACAAGAGTGGCAGTAGCCAAAATGCGGATTTCGTGCCACTTGCTACTCGTTGAATCTGGGCTCTACAAGAAGATACCCAGAGTTGAGAGGCTTTGCCCCCTTTGTAATAGCCTGTTCCAGGCGTTCAGATAGTGGGGAGCGATACGAAGTAAAAAGGAGCGCGAAAAAAAAAAGTCCCCCTCTACTTTTCATCGCTTTCTTTACTTCGCACCGCTCTCCGCTATCTGAACGCTTGGGACAGGCTACCTTTGTAATAGATCCCTTGGTGATGAATTCCACTATTTGTTGAAATGTACTCACTCATCACTTTCTCATATAAGGGGTATCTTCTTGGAGAGCCTATACCCGACAAACAGTAATTTTACCAATATGTCTTACAAGGCACTATTGTTATATATCATGTCTATGTGCGATGAAAACATCATAAATCTTAGTGCCTCTTATATTGAATATATTCTAAATTGTCATAAATCCGAACTCTAATTTAACTTTCTTACCGTACGAGTAGCGTAGAAGCCGTACAAAGCCAAGTAATTTTTCTTTGTATGTCAGTATTCAATATATTGTTGTTGTTCCTTTCTTTCTTATGTAACTTTTATTTTACTTTGTTTCATTTGTAATTATATTGATTGTTTTGGTACTGAAGTCGTCATGTCGAAGATAAAGTCAATAAAGTTGTTGTTATTTAAAGGACAGCGCATTTGCAGCAGTTAAAGGGATGCAAAGTTCTAAACTTTTCATGTGAAAGGGGTACCATTTGTCCATAGAAGGTATACTAAAGGGGTACCTTTCCTGTCAAAAGTGGTGTATAAAAGGGTAAGGGGTTGGACCTCCGGACGGAGCTAGACTACGAGTAGTCCCCCATTTTTCCTCAGGGATAGTAGACCGTGCGAAACGCGAGCGCGCGTGAAAATCACCCCACGCGAGAAAAGGCGGGGAGAGAGAAAATTTTTTCTCTCTCCCCGCCTGTCACCTTTTCTCGCGTGGGGTGATTTTCACGCGCGCTCACGTTTCGCTCGCTCTACTATCCCTGAGGAAAAATGGGGGACTACTCGTAGTCTAGGACGGAGCCGCTCCTCATAAAACTCTGCTTAGTACCCCCGGCTGGGGATCCCCGCCCTCACTGCGTGCAGCCGGACGTGCCACTCAAACTCTTGACTTTTCCAGGAGACTGTCCGGCCACGGCACAGGCTTGTCAAGTCCTTAAAATTTGTAGTGCCTCGGGGATTTTATGGTAAATGACTGATGACAGCTTTGTCTGATGGGTGTCATCTTCGCTGTCATGCAATGGCCCACCAGCTGGTGGTCCACTAGCCTTCTGCTTCTACTTCTAAGTTGCACACAGTTAAACGGTCTCGCATCGAAAAGAAGACAACTGAAAACAAAACGAAGAAAAAAGAACTATAAGATAAAGTTAAAAATTATACCAAAGGCATTTGCAACAGTCTGAATGACTTTCTTCTCTTGTCGTAGAGGAGATTAGATTCCCGGGGGGGGGGGGGGGGGTTCTTCATAATTTACCTATCGGGGGTTTGGGCCCCCCAAGGGGGGCGGGTTTTTAATCCTCGGGTTTTAGAGGGGGGTACCTTTTCAAGGGGGTTTTCCACAAGAGGGTCAAATTTTTCAANCTCCTGGTTTAGAACGGGGTATCCATTTCAGAGGCGTTTTCAAGAACGGGGTATAATATTTCGAACGCACGAAAGCTCTCCCCTTTTTTAAGCAGCCATTTGAAAGCATTCAAGGAACGATTGCTTTTAAAAATACGGTTCAGTTCGTTAACAAAAACCGTTGTACTCTTGTTGCACCCTAGAACGGAGTATAAAAAATTGGCCCATTTCTAGAACGGTGTGTTAGTTTTAGGGCGAATTCTAGAACGGGGTATAAAAAATTGGCCTATTTCTAGAACGGGGTATCAATTTTAGGGGAAATTTTTTCTAGAACGGGTTGCCAATTTGGAGTCCCGGGCGGCACATACCCACCCAAAAAATACCCAAGTGCCCCCCCCCCCCGGGATTGACGTCATGACGTCACGGCGGCCATATTGGTGTTCCAAACCAATCCTGCGGGAGTTGAACTCTTTTCTTATGTAAACGCTTTCTTTGCTCCTATAAATTTGCATAGAGGCTGGCCACGTGCGTGAAAACGCTCTATATAGAGAAAATCGTTTATAATACTTCCCGTAAAATGGCCATAAATCGGCCCATGGACCACACAGGAGAGACGTAACACACATTTTATGTAAGGTAAGCTGTTTTTTATTGAAATCCTTTCATTTTTGTAGGTTACAGAAGCGATAGGTTTTTCCTTATATTCGAATGTTACGCAACAATGTCGATGCTCTTATGAGCTTGGGCTCCCTGTGGTTTCTGTGACCATCAGTCTAATTTATAGACAGGCCAGTAAAAGTACTGAACCGATATTACGCCGACATAAGTTGGGGATCTGAAATCACTCGAGTGTGCTAGTTAAAATCTTAAAGAATCACCCTTTAGGTAAGTGAAATTGCAATTTTTCTTTTTTTAGCCAGGTGCTTCCCAGGAAGAGAGAAACACACGCGTAGATTAGCCCTCCATAACTTTTGTAGAGAGCCCGGGGGCTTTATAGGTATGTCCGGCGCCAACGGTTATGGTTTTTTAGCCATTTTGGTCTGAAATAGAGTATGATTTGTGTACTCTAGTCTTGAATTGGGTATGTTTTTAGAAGAAGCTATAAGAATATTTCCCTTTCAATGTTTGCGCCAACCGTGTACTTGCCGTAACAGCTTGTCACGCGCTTCGGTCACGCTTCAGGTCTGGCAGGTCAAATTTTTGATCAGGTCTGAAATAGGGCAGGGAAATTCACAGATTTTGGTCTGAAATAGGGTAAGGGTTTGAGGAAAAGTGACGCACACCCCCACCCTATTTTTTTTTAAGTACCCCCCCGGGGGGTAGAGAGGTATTCTGTTTCTTTTGCAATCTAAGACATTCTAATTTTAAAAATCAGCTGACTAGATCATCAGGCCAGTAAAAGTACTGACCCGATCTTATGCTGATATATGTTGAGGATTTGAAATTATTAGTCATTTCTGCTACGTACAACAGAAAAGTGTCCAAGCTTTTAAAGGTTAAAAATACTCGCTATAGGTAAGAGTGAAAAGCATACTTCTTAGTTTTTTTTTTGGACAGGTGCTTGTAAAGTATAGCGACTAACGCGTGGATCATCCTCCAGTGATTTTTGTAGAAGGAGACTCATGATCAACTAAATGTGAGTAGGCAGCATTTCATAGTGCTCGCTTTTTGTTTCTTGTTGTTGATTTTTTTCGCCAAATGATTCAGCTCAATCCCTTTGTTACATATACTCTAGTCTGCTTCCTTAGCAAGCGTTTATGATCGATCGATTTATTCAGTACTGGAAAATATGAAGCGAGAGCTCGACGAACTCGCGCTAGTTACCCGGGGCTAGTTACTAGTTGCATGCATTCTACATGCACTCAGAAAGCGCCTGGAAAGTCAATTAAATGTTTCGAAAATTGGTAGGACATTTCCATCAGTACAATTAACTGAAACATAATCACTCAATGTCGCCAAAGCAGGCTACTGAGCCACGAAAAGGGGAGCCGTGATTTAAACCTAGGGAGGTAGAATAGTGAATGTCAAGAAATATTTTCTGCTGCCTTGTTTACCCCCTAACTCTTACTGGGGAAAAATGTCTAAAAGATGGGAATTCCTTAGAATTATACGCTCCTCACCAAATTTGCTGAATGCGCTTATTAGGAAGTAACATCGAAGATATTTCAATTATGTCTGCAGATGCAGGCCGATAATGTTGAGGTCGTTGAAGTGACAAAGGGTTTCCTATCTCTGGTAGCCAAAGAAAATATCCTGGCAGGATCGTTTCTAGCTGATGTCTGGGGACCAGTGGTGAGTCAGGCCACACCCTACACTATTCAAGTGGATGTCAATAAACACGTGGATCCTGTTGGCCCGTTAAAACGCACTAACCACTCCTGCAATCCAAATGCCAAGTTCGTTTATGAACCACGCCTGAAAGAGGATGAAATCATGGGCTTTGATGAAGACCACAAAATCTTTTGGCATCTGGTGGCCACACGCGACATCAAGAAAGGAGAGGATATAACTTTTGATTACACGACTACTGAGTATGAGATGGCGGGGGTTTTCAACTGTCTCTGCGGAATGGAAAATTGTTTGGGTGAAGTTAAAGGCTTCAAGTTCTTATCAGCAGAGGAGAAGGCGCAAAGGGAGAAAGAATTATCTCCAGTGATGAGAAAACTTTCCAATGGTGATAATTGAGTTCACAGTCTTACTGACTACATGAACTTCTAGCCTATTCTGATGCGACGTGACATCATCATGGAAGGTCACATCTTCATCTCCCGTGTCCATGTTTTTTCTTTGTCTTTTAAGTCATGACTTCATTTACCGTTAACTGGAAACAGAAACTAGAAGAAGGACGTATATGAGAACATTTGCATTTCCCCCAGAATAATCACACTCGTTCCCAGGGCCCTCTGGACGCTCCGGGGAACGAGTAGGAGAGGGCCCTTGGAGCGAGATGTTTTTCATTCCCAAAATGGCGCTGCACATGGGGCCCATTACTCCTGGCAAGCAGTAACACCACTTTCACTTTGTAAACCCTTAGAACTATTATCAGTTAAGTAGAATTTTTAAATCCTTATTAAACTAACATTGTGTTGGAAATACATTAAAATCTGAAAGTAAAAACTTAAGCTTTGAAGTACTTTAAATTCTAGCCCGATTAATTTGCATGCGTGGCCCGCTAGTCGATCTACCGATCTCATCACCCCCGTCATGTATGTCTGCCCTGCTTTTCCAGTCCCTTTTATTCCCATTAAATGATGTTTTGGGCTACCAGCATTTTTCTTTCAATATTTTATGACCTTTTTTAAGCGCGTGTAGCGTGCACAATACCCCTGTCAAGTGGAGGTCTCCTCTCTGTTCGAATTCATATGTTTTCAAATGCGGCTTTTTTAAAACCCGACCACTGATTATCGAGCATTTGCTGTGACTACCGCTGTATGACCCGAGAAGTGCCCTAGCGCGAAAGTTGTCATGGCCGTCTTTATTTGGGGACTGGCTAGGAGGGACCGTGTCCCAAACCTCCCGGGGGAGGGGGTGATGCAGCCCGATTGATCTGCATAGCCCTTCGGCCAATGCTGCTGCTTTTGCCCAACACCTCTCTCCCTCCCCGTCCACTCACAGATTTTTTTTCGTACGGTACTGTAAACAATAAAGGAAAACACAAACAAACAAGCAAACAAAGAATTAACGAATTTTAATGAGCGCCGCAGAGCCGCGGTTGCCGCTCGTTTATCCTAGTCACCAGGAACCTCTCGGTTTCTTGTAAATATTGTAGTTCAGCGGTAATTTGGGAAAGTGACACCAATATTTCTCAGCTGGAGTAAAAATATCAGAAATATCCAAGTCTACGGAAGGTATTCTGAAAAAATCAACGCATAATACAGTTCCCAAACGATGAAGTTAGACACGTTTAAGCCATTACTTAGTGGCCATTATATTCTAAATCCACTGGCGTGTTTATTGTACGTGGTACTCAAGATATTTCCACCATTTTGCGAATGGCTTTTCCCCGATGAAGAATGTCAGATCTCGTGGGTGAGTGAAATATAACCTTGAGCCTGTATTACTACAATGGCTCATTGAACTCCTGAAGGTTCTATCACGAAAAACTTCTTCTTTAAAGAATGAAGGAGAAGAAGATTTAACGCTTCATTTAAAACAGCGTACATAAGATAAGTGACTTAGATACTTTGGACACTTTTCTTTCGTATTAAACAGCACCAACTGTCCATCACCAAGGAATTGAAAATCTTTCAAGCGATTGAACATAAAATGCAGTGGTCAAAACTTTCATTGCGTTAAATATCAAGGTTTTTTAAGGTTAAATCTTTGCACAGGGACTTCATTCGCACTGAATCGTACAAGACTTCCGAGGCCATGGGTGGGGAAGGTTAAATCAAGATGACCTCATTTTACTGCAGAAACTCAGACAAATTAGAGTATTCTGGGATCTAAACTTATGCAAAGTATCCTAAGATATGTCCAAAGTTAATCTGCTGTAGAGCCATTTCCCTAGTTTTGATTATTCACAATCACTATACTTCACTTCTGTGAGCCCTGTGGGGGAGTGGGGTCAAAGGTATGTCCCTAGGTCAGGTGGTGGGAGGTTAGTGCTGTTATCACTGAGCTCTTCCTGCTCCCCCCAAAAGTGCTCACTGTCCAGCCTCCCCTGGTGTTACTTGTTTGATTTGTGTATTTGTTGAACAATCCTGTGGTCTGAACTGCCTGGGGATGCTGGCAATAACATCTTACATCACTCACAAAAGTTTATACTATAGGACTTGAATAAATAAATGAATAAATAAATAAATAAATAATGATTTAGAGGTAGCACATCTACTAAGTGGTTCTTTGTCTACCTGATCCCTGGTTGAATTGGAATTTGTCCATGTTGGTTTTTGACGAGAGGGGAAAACCAGACTACCCGTAGAGAAAAACCTCTCAGAGCAAAGGAGAGAACCAACGAGAAGTTTACTCAACCCATGGTGTCCACACCGGGATTTGAACATGGGCCACAATTTGGTGGGGGAGATTTACTCTTATCACTGATTACCCTTGTTCCTCTGGGACTTGGTCATAAAGCCACCAAAGGCAGTGTTGAATTTAATATGTCTGTGTTTTGAATCACACTAATGATCTGTTCCAACTTTATATTACAGAGGGATGTTGAGCTGTTATCCTTTCTAGCAATTGTCCTGGCGGTCAAGAACCGGAAGTGGAAACCAGGTAGTTATAAATTATGGTTTCTTGAAATAATTGTACACTGTAGAATAAAGATCGATTACCATAACATCACTATCAATTGGTAGCAAAACACTGTCTAAAACTTTTTTCTTGGTTTTTCTTGCCCAAGTATGTAACCAAATTGAATTTAATTTGAATATCTACATTGTAACAAGCAAAGTTTTGAGCAAAATTTCTTTCACGGGGCCTGAACTAGGCTTCATTTTTGTAGGGGAGCAGTTTTGCAGAAATCAAAAGGACTGTGAAGTTATTTTGAATGAGGTTAATTTGGTGGCTAGTGAAGTAAGATTTTCAAGGGAAATTTTTGGCTAAAGTTACATTAGTTTTTATATTTTTTTCCTGGCCTGTTTGACTGAGTCACACTCATTCGGGTGTGGTTTTAAAGATCTTTTCCCTTACACAAGTTACACATCAACATTGTCCATGATTTTTAAAAAATGATGATGCTGAAATTGGTACAAGGGACATTAATTCACATGGGGATGGGCAGTTTCTTAGGTGGCAGTTGGAATTCAAATAGATGTCCACGCATTGCCAATAAACCACTTAGTATTTTTTGTTTTTTGTTTCCAGCCACATGGCAAGAGGCAGCTTCTATGGTGTTCATGTTTAGTAAAATTGCCAATTTTGTACTTTTTGCAAGATCAGACCTCAGGCTCGGTCTTTTATACCTTATCCTTTGTTTAGGTGAGTATCTACATCAATGAGCTTCAGTTACTGGGGACTGGAGGGGTAAAACAAAATCTTCTACTTGCCTAAACTAAATTTTATTAAACCCACAAAAATGCTAAGCCAAATGTCAAGAAAGAAAGCAATTAGGGGAATACCAAGAATGAAAATGACCACTGTACATGTGCAATATAACCATAGCTTTTCATACCGTAACATCTTTTTACTTGAATCTCCTCTCTTCTGGAATACTAGCCTGAGACACAGACAGTCTAAATCCCACAGACAGACGGACTATATTGAGTTCGCTATCTGGGTATTGAGTGACAAGTCCAGCTACAATACAGTCTACTTTCTTGGTAAATCTACCAAAAAAAATACTAGTCAAAATTTCCTAACCCCCAAAAAATCCCAGAATTATTGATTTCAAACCCCCAAAAATCTTAAATTTGGATTAGCCCTTGATGCAGGGAGAGGATTTGTGACGGGCTGCCCTTATAAGAAGTTTAATGTATTTTTTTGTTGTATTTTCAGTTCTTTTTTTGTTATTTCCTGAGCCATCTTACAGTGGTCCAGATGAGGTACACTTCTTTAGAGGCCCTGCTCTTGATGTAAGCAAGCATTTTATTTATTTATTTATTTACCAATTTAGTAAGCACAACACATACAAAGCAAGGTTGCTGCCTAAAGGGTGCCTGGTCACCAGAGGCTCCTACGATTTGCTTGTGGGTGACTAAAACTTAAAACAAGGAGCCCGTACGGGCACCTAAAACTTATAATTTTATTGCAATAGCTTCTATTCCAACTTCCAGTGAAGGAACAACAGAATTCCCTGCTCATTTTGAACAAGTGAATGCCGCTAAAGGAGTAACCTTATGACGTTTTGGGCAACTTTGTTATGAAAAAGTAGATGAATACTATTGATTATCCTTTTCCCTCAACAAGGTTAATAGATATAGTCATATCAACTGAAACAAAAAAAAAATAGATACACTGTGCTAGTGTGAGTTTGACAAAGTGGAGACTCGGAACGATGCTACTAACCTTAACAGTTTGTGAACATAATGGTGGGATGATGTTCAACCATAAATCTGGACCTCTGCTATACACCCTATGCAGAACGAAAAGAGACTGGGAGCGATCAACTTGAAAACGAGGCTAGTTGGGCCTGGTAAATAAAAATGGCCGCCTGATGTGAAGGGCGCCAGTTTTTGAAAATGCCGCAAAATTGTTTTTGTAAATATTGTAGTTCAGCGGTAATTTGGGAAAGTGACACCAATATTTCTCAGCTGGAGTAAAAATATCAGAAATATCCAAGTCTACGGAAGGTATTCTGAAAAAATCAACGCATAATACAGTTCCCAAGCGATGAAGTTAGACACGTTTAAGCCATTACTTAGTGGCCATTATATTCTAAATCCACTGACGTGTTTATTGTACGTGGTGCTCAAGATATTTCCACCGTTTTGCGAATGGCTTTTCCCCGATGAAGAATGTCAAATCTCGTGGGTGAGTTAAATATAAGCTTAAGCCTGTATTACTACAATGGCTCATTGAACTCTTGAAGGTTCTATCACGAAAAACGTCTTCTTTATCGAATGAAGGAGAAAAAGATTTAACGCTTCATTTAAAACATCGTACGTTGGATTAGTGACTTTAATAGACAATTTGGACGCTTTTCTTTCGTATTAAATGTCACCATAAGCGATTGAGCATAAAATGCAGTGGTCAAAACTTTCATTGCGTTAGATGTCAGGGTTTTTTAAGGTTAAATCTTTGGACAGGGATTTTATTCACACTGAATCGTACAAGACGTCCGAGGCCATGGGTGGGGAAGGTTAAGTCAAGATGACCTCATTTTCCTGCAGAAACTCGGCCAAATTAGAGTATTCTGGGATATAAACTTACGCAAAGTATCCTAAGATATATCCAAAGTTAATCTGCTGTAGAGTCATTTCCCTAGTTTTGATTATTCACAATTCCTGCACTTCACTGCGGTGGCCCCCGTGGGGGAGTGGGGTCAAACGTATGTCCCTAGGTCATGTGGTAGGACGCTAGAGCTCTTATCACTGAGCTCTCCCTGCCTCCCCCCAAAATGCCCACTGTCCAGCCTCCCCTGGTGTTACTTGTTTGATTTGAGTACTTGTTGAGCAATCCTGTGGTCTGAACTGCCTGGGGATGCTGGCAATAACATCTTACATCGCTCACAAAAGTTTATACTATAGGACTTGAATAAATAAATGAATAAATAAATAAATAATGATTTAGAGGTAGCACATCTACTAAGTTGTTCTTTGTCCACCTGATCCCTGGTTGAATTGGAATTTGTCCATGTTGGTTTTTGAAGAGAGTGGAAAACCAGACTACCTAGAGAGAAAAACCTCTCAGAGCAAAGGAGGGAACCAACAAGAAGTTTACTCAACCCATGGTGTCCACGCCAGGATTTGAATGTGGACCACAATTTGGTGGGGGAGAATTACTCTTACCACTGATTACCCTTGTTTCTCTGGGACTTGGTCATAAAGCCACCAAAGGCAGTGTTGAATTTAATATGTCTGTGTTTTGAATCACACTAATGATCTGTTCCAACTTTATATTAACAGAGGGACGTTGAGCTGTTATCCTTTCTAGCAATTGTCCTGGCGGTCAAGAACCGGAAGTGGAAACCAGGTAGTTATAAATCATGGTTTCTTGAAATTATTGTACACTGTAGAATAAAGATCAATTACCATAACATCACTATCAATTGGTAGCAAAACACTGTCTAAAACTTTTTTCGTGGTTTTTCTTGCCCAAGTATGTAACCAAATTGAATTTAATTTGAATATCTACATTGTAACAAGCAAAGTTTTGAGCAAAATTTCTTTCATGGGGCCTGAACTAGGCGTCATTTTTGTAGGGGAGCAGTTTTGCAGAAATCAAAAGGACTGTGAAGTTATTTTGAATGAGGTTAATTTGCTGGCTAGTGAAGTCAGATTTTCAACGTAAATTTTTGGCTAAAGTTACATTAGTTTTTATATTTTTTGCCTGGCCTGTTTGACTGAGTCACACTCATTCGGGTGTGGTTTTAAAGATCTTTTCCCTTACACAAGTTACACATCAACATTGTCTATGATTTTTAAAAAGTGATGATGCCGAAAGTGGTACAAGGGACATTAATTCACATGGGGATGGGGAGTTTCTTAGGTGGCAGTTGGAGTTCAAATAGATGTCTATGTATTGCCAATAAACCACTTAGTATTTTTTGTTTTTTGTTTCCAGCCACATGGCAAGAGGCAGCTTCTATGGTGTTNACTCTTACCACTGATTACCCTTGTTTCTCTGGGACTTGGTCATAAAGCCACCAAAGGCAGTGTTGAATTTAATATGTCTGTGTTTTGAATCACACTAATGATCTGTTCCAACTTTATATTAACAGAGGGACGTTGAGCTGTTATCCTTTCTAGCAATTGTCCTGGCGGTCAAGAACCGGAAGTGGAAACCAGGTAGTTATAAATCATGGTTTCTTGAAATTATTGTACACTGTAGAATAAAGATCAATTACCATAACATCACTATCAATTGGTAGCAAAACACTGTCTAAAACTTTTTTCGTGGTTTTTCTTGCCCAAGTATGTAACCAAATTGAATTTAATTTGAATATCTACATTGTAACAAGCAAAGTTTTGAGCAAAATTTCTTTCATGGGGCCTGAACTAGGCGTCATTTTTGTAGGGGAGCAGTTTTGCAGAAATCAAAAGGACTGTGAAGTTATTTTGAATGAGGTTAATTTGCTGGCTAGTGAAGTCAGATTTTCAACGTAAATTTTTGGCTAAAGTTACATTAGTTTTTATATTTTTTGCCTGGCCTGTTTGACTGAGTCACACTCATTCGGGTGTGGTTTTAAAGATCTTTTCCCTTACACAAGTTACACATCAACATTGTCTATGATTTTTAAAAAGTGATGATGCCGAAAGTGGTACAAGGGACATTAATTCACATGGGGATGGGGAGTTTCTTAGGTGGCAGTTGGAGTTCAAATAGATGTCTATGTATTGCCAATAAACCACTTAGTATTTTTTGTTTTTTGTTTCCAGCCACATGGCAAGAGGCAGCTTCTATGGTGTTCATGTTTAGTAAAATTGCCAATTTTGTACTTTTTGCAAGATCAGACCTCAGGCTTGGTCTTTTATACCTTATCCTTTGTTTAGGTGAGTATCTACATCAATGAGCATCAGTTACTGGGGACTGGAGGGGCAAAACAAAATCTTCTACTTGCCTAAACTAAGATTAAACCCACAAAAATGCCAAGCCAAATTTTAAGAAAGAAAGCAATTTGGGGAAATTATACCAAAAATCAAAACGACCAGTGTGCATGTGCAATATATCCATAGCTGTACATACCAAAACATGATTTTAACTTGAATCTGCCCTCTTTTGGAATACACACACAACTCCTTTGTAGCCTGCGACACAGACAGTCTAAATCCCATAGACAGACGGACTATATCGACTTCTCTATCTGGGTCTTGGTCAACAAGTCCAGCTGTAACACAGGCAACTTTCTTGGTAAATCTACCAAAATAAATACTAGTCAAAATTTCCTAACCAAAACAAATCCCAAAATTATTGATTTCAAACCCCCAAAAATCTTAAATTTGGATAGGCCCTTGATGCAGGCATATACTTGAAGGGATTTGTGAGGGACTGACGTTATAAGAAGTTTAACGTATTTTTTTGGTTGTATTTTCAGTTCTTTTTTTGTTATTTCCTGAGCCATCTTACAGCGGTCCAGATGAGGTACACTTCTTTAGAGGCCCTGCTCTTGATGTAAGCAAGCATTTTATTTATTTATTTATTTATTTACTGATTTAGTAAGCATAACATAAATTATACAAGGTAAGGTTGCTGCCCAAAGGGTGCCTGGTTGCCAGAGGTTCTGACGATTTGCTCGTGGGTGACCAAAATTTAAAACAAGGAGCCGGTACGGGTGCTTAAAACTTATGATTTTTACGGCAATAGCCTCTATTTCAACTTCCAATGAAGGAACAACAGAATTCCCTGCTCATTTTTTGAACAAGTGAACGCCGCTAAAGGAGTAGCCTTACAACATTTTGGGCAACTCTGTTATGAAAAAGTGGATAACCACTATTGATTATCCTTTTCCCTCAACAAGGTTAATAGATATAGTCATATCAACTCAAACCAAAAAAAAAAAGATACACTGCACGAGTGTGAGTTTGACAACGTGGAGACTCAGAGCAATTCAACTAACCTTAACAGTTTGTGAACATAATGGTGTCTGGATCTCTGCTAAACACCCCCTCTCTGCAATGTGTACTTTTTTGTGCTGGCAGACAGTCTGTAAACTTAATGAAAAGGGTAATTTTCCTTTGGCTGAGTGTAACAAAATAAGTGGAAAATGTTTTTCTCACAGACCACTGGGGGCCTGGGTATAGGTCATGTGACCAAAAGGCGGGCAGTTGCTTTTGTTGTGTCCGCTATTACTGACCATCCCACCCACCCACCTCAAGATTTCAGTTTTGTAGACTGTTTAAATGTAATGTGCAACTTTGTAATTTTGTTAGTGTTCCACCTTTCTAGGGGTATGTTATGTGTAAATTTTTATGAACTTGGAATAAAT